GAGTGTACGGATCGTAATAAGTAATAAAATGGACTTATGAATTCAAACAATTGTTCGCACGAGAATTACTATCTAACATTTTTGTTAAATTATTTCTAACTTCAATTTGATTCAAAACAAATAGAATGTGTTATTTTCTTCTTCTTTTTTGTGATTTTTTATTTTAAACATATGAAAATAATGAAAGTGAATTTTTATATGAAGTTTTAAGTGTTAGGATTCATGGTTTCACCATAGCTATCCTTTTAATCTCAATTATCAAATTTTATAACAATGGATTATGCGTACCCGATCGAATACTTCCAACGCATTCATTTTACCTATCTCCAATTCAAATGATTCTATTTAATTGAGTAAATTCCACATCTGTATATGAATCCAGATACACTTTGATTAAACACATTAAATCTCTAAAAATTCATGTAACGACAGCATTAATTATAAGATATATCTCTACATTTTTATTCTAGTTTTCAACTTTTACTACGTACTCTAAACAAATAATCTGCCTCACAAAGTAATTATCGTTCTCAAAATCAATGAATTAATAGCCAATTAACCTAAAAATTAAGAATAAAAGTAAAAACAATTCACAATATCAATTGGATATTAAATTTTTTTAATTAAAAGTAAGGTTCAAAACTGGGTTACATTATACATCCCAATTAATTACTTAATTACACATTATAGGAGAAAAATAAAATAAGAAAGAAATAAAGCACATCACCGGGTTTAAAAGATAAAGCGAAGAAAGATGAAGATCTTGCACCAATATTTATCCTTCTTATAAAATCTTGAAATTGTAGCTTCTTGATTGGTTTCTTGATATTCCCTCCTTTTGGACTTGTACGATATGTGTACAGTAAGCCCCCAAACAATGGCTTGAATATATGTGTGCAAGGAAACTTTACAAGCCATATTTAATTGTTGAATTATGGTATATATTTATAGAAAATGTGCAAAATTCTTGTTGATTTACATCAAAGAGTTTGAGAATAAAAATGAAATAAATCCTTTTTCAATTGAACTCATTTTCTCATTTGATTTTAATAATTCATCTTCTATTATTTTTAATTTAAGTCTTATTTATTCTAAAATCATTATAGTTGACCCAAGACAAACTTTGAAAGTTTGTAATTTAGTTTCCAAACTTTTCAGCTGTCGAATTAAACTCCCAAAACTTATGATTTTTTACCGAATGCTCCATTAATACTCTCAATTGATTGATTACAATTAAGCTACAAAATAGCCCATTTTCACATAAATTAAATCCAAGTTGGAATTTTTCAACAATTAACATAATTTACACAAATTAAGTAAGTATTCGCTCAATTTACATAGAAATATATAAGAATAGAAGTCCGAATATGCGCATAAAATGCACTTATCAGCGGTCTTTTGTAAATAGATTTAATTACCAAAATTTTGGTGATTGACATAAACATGAATTATTATTTGAAACGAGTTTAATAAGCGCACCCTCCTTATAAGTATATTATAAGTTTAATAATTTTCAAGCCTATTACTTTTCACATGTATATTAAAATGTTAAAATGTGTAACTGAACTTTAACATTTATTAGGTTTTTTAATTATTATTTTTTGAATTATTGTTTTTGTGATTTAATTTTGGAGGCAATATGAATTATGATAAATGGGGCAATTAGTTGATTGACGTAAAAAATTAGGTGTTCATCAAGAGATTTTCCAACCTCAATTTTTAGATAATATACAAAACCATTTTTTTATTTATTATATTTACATTTGTAGCTTGGAATTTCTCTACTGCTATTTCATACTCCATCATTTTTAGAAATATTTTAAAATGGGGTTAATTTCAGAAATGGTCACTCAAGTTACAGCAAAATTTCAAAATGGTCACTGAAGTTCCAAACTTGCATAAACGGTCACTCAACTTTTAGGCACTTTAAAAAATGGTCACTGAGGTAAGTTTTGGACTTTTTTGTNTTCCGACGACGCAAACCACCGGATTTTGGTACCAATGTCTTGCCCATAACATTAGCTTCCATTACATCCAAACATCATGAAATTTGACCCACGAATTTGGAAGAAATCGAAGAAAATAAAAAACAGATTTTCGCGAAGTTCGCGACAGCGCACTGCTTGGATGCAATATTCGGCGACAATACGACGAACCGGGGCTCACACCAACGGGGTTAGGTGCGTCTTCACCTGGCGCACCTAGCCCAGTAATGGGTCTTCACCAATTTGACACGAATCAAAACGAATTTGGATCTAAACTCGTTTTCTGCTCTCGCGAGTTCAAGCCAGCGAACACTTCAGCTTCAGATCCAAATTCGTTTTGATTGGGGTCAAATTGGGGGAGACCCATGGTTGGGCTAGATGCACCAGGTGAGGGCGCACCCAGCCCAGGTGTGCGCCACCCTGGTTCGCCGGAACGCGTTGGAATTCGTTGTTCTCCAGTGCGTTGTCGCGAGCTTCGCAATTGACATTTTTCTGGGCAAAATTGGAGCTGTTGAATTCTTGTTTGGGATGAATTGAATCCATGGTTGAGGTCGTTTATGTGTAGGCTTTCTACCAATGGTGAGATCCGGTCATGGGGGTGGCCGGAGGTGGTGTTTCTGGCGTATTTTTTGGCAGCTAACTTTAAACTTGAATTTCGGCCAGATTACTTTATGAAATTGGGAGGGGTTTGTTGGTAATTGATGGGAGGGAGGGAGGTTAAAGGCTTTCCAATGGTATCCAAATCCGGCGGTTTGGGTGGCCGGAAGTCATCGGAATTTTGGTGCATTTGTACTGTCAGAGATGAGGCTCAGAAAATGAATTTGCACTTCAGGTCCTCCAATTTTGAAGGGGCCTGTGTTTGTTAATTTGGATTTCAATTAGAACAAAGAAGTCCCTTAATTTTGCTCAGTGACCATTTTTGAAAGTGACTGAAAGTTGAGTGACCGTTTATGCAAGTTTGGAACTTCAGTGACCATTTTGAAATTTGGCCGTAACTTCAGTGACCATTTGTGAAATTAACCCTTTTAAAATGTAATGATAAAGTCAATGAATGTTTTTTGCTTACTTTTCAAAGATTATTTATATTTACTTCATATATCTGCAGAAATCATATGAACAAAAAAGATGGCGACTATATATGCATAAACGATTTGAATGCATTTGATCGCATAGAAGTTTCCATCCATCATTTGAAACGGTTCTATTGAAACTTACACAAATATCAAAGGCCCAGTTGATGTTTTAAAAATAATCTCGATTGATGAACTAAGCTATGTATATCTTACCAAAAATCTAATGTTAAACTATTGTAAATCCTTTTAATACTTGCAAGGTAATAAAGTCCAAGCTCCGTTATTGTCATTTTTTTCTTAAATATTGCCTTGCGATACAATTAGACCATACATATGATTTAATTTACGGCTTTAAAATATGTTATAATAAAACGAGAATTGGCAATATGAAAAATAAGAATAAGAACGCAAGATTTACGTGAAAATCTAAGTCGGGAAAAAAATCATGGGTAGAAGATGATAAATTCGTTGTATCAAACATTTTATACCATTGTCTAAACAACTGTTTCAGGGTATAAATGGATTTTTTTAGTAAGAACACATAGTCCTCCTTTCCTGTAACCATATAGCCCTCTGGCTACTGCATATAGATATACTCATCAAGTTCTCCATGTAAAAATGTTGTCTTCACATCCAACTACTCAAGCTCTAAATTGTGCTCGGCACCATATCAAGCAAAGCTCGAATCGAACTATACTTTACAACTGGAGAAAACATATGTGTGAATTCTACACCCGAAATTTGACTGGATACCTTTGCAATTAGATTGGTATAAACTCTGAACCAATCTCAAAGTCGACCCGTATGTTTGATTTCTGCTAATTTATATAAATAGACTTTGTCGAAGATAAGGCACGTTCATTAAATATAACATCTCTACTAATTTTGACTCTACTTATTTTTGGACATCATAGCTTATATCCCTTAAAACTGGATTTATAGCCAAGAAATACACACTTTCTAGATCTATGTTTCAGTTTTTCATTATCAACATGAGCATAAGCATAAGCATGACATCAAATTATCTTCAAATTTGAGTAAATAGAAGGAGTATCAAATCATACCTCTTCTATATATAATACAATGAAGAGTCTAACATATGGTGGAGTTATAATATAACAAGCCTAACAAATAATGAAGTGTTTGAGAGAGAATAGAAATGTAAAAACTGCTAAAATTGAGAACAACTTTCCTTGATATAACGATCGCCAGAGCAATGGTAGTGTTTGAGAGAGAATAGGAATGTAAAAACTGCTAAAATTGAGAACAATTTTCCTTGATATAACGATCGCTAGAGCAATGGTCTCACGAGCATCGAGTGGTGGCTCGATTGCTCGAGCGTTCGAGGTGTGGACAAGCACTGGAGTCGCTAACAAAATAGCTCAAGTGCTCAATGCATGGACATCGAGTGCTTTTGTGGTTATTTTTTCTCATTGTTCCATCTTTGACTCCTTCAAAACATATACTACCAACTCACAATAGAATTAGGGACATACTCTAACAAAATATATCATATCTTCAATTTGAATTATCAACCCCATTATATAATATATCAAATATATATAAAATAAAAAATTTAAATATAGAGGAATGATATAATAAGTATCCGTGCTCATAATATGCTAAGCATTGTTGATATGTTGTATCAATCTGTTGGTGCTATCCACCAATGAATTGATATGACAGGACATCATTTTCCAAGAAATATAAAGGTAGTCTTGTTCCACAGGAAATCATTATAGAATCTGCACCCTTGTTTAGTTCATTCACTGCTTAGCATAAAAAGAGTACCGATACTCGGTAGATCATTCTGCTTTAAATATAAGTACTTTATCGGCGCAACAATTGTATAACTGGTAATATTTACGTGCTATTTACAGCCTGCAGTTTTGGTTACAAGACAGAGTAATAGCGCTTTTAGTTTCTTCGCATTGGAAGACAAATGCGACAATTGGCTTACGTTATCCACTCCAAAGTCCAAACTCTTCAAATTCTCACCCCTACAGCAAATCCTTCACACCCTCCAATGGCGACCTCTATTTCTGCTCTCACTTCATCCTTATCCTCCCTCTCATTTTCCTCCCAAATTTCTCAAAAGCCTGTATTTCAATCCCTTTCCTTCCCTTACTCAAAATCTCTCTCTTTCAAAACCCCCAACCTCACCATCGCCGCCGCCGCCGCCGTGGAAACGGCCGATTTGAAGACACTAGTGAAGTCTCGACTTCCGGGTGGTTTCGCGGCGCAGAATATCATCGGCACGGGACGAAGGAAAAATGCAATTGCACGAGTTGTTCTCCAAGAAGGCTCTGGGAAAATTATCATTAACTACCGCGATGCCAATGTAAACCACCATTTATTGTAATTAGTCTTTCAACCTTTGTTTTATTATTTTATCAGTTGAAACAGTGCATTTAGGTTTGCGCTTTGTAGTTTTGTAATTTGGTATTGTTTAGGTTTAGATTGAACAAGGAATTTGCACTCTTGGCTTGTCTTATTCATAAAGTAAAATGGAAGAATGGCTAGGTTTCCTTTTCTATTCACGCTTATTCATTAGCCTTGACCATAGAGAATATATTTGGTACGCACTGCAGGATTGAAAGAACATTTGTTAACAATATGTTTGGCTGAGCTTACAAAAGTTACAAGTAATTAGCCTTTTTGTGAGAGTTAGGAATAAGCTAGTTATTTATTTTCATAAGGTGAGAGATACTCTTAACAAACGTGACTTTGTTTTATTTAAGGAAAAGGTAAGGGCACAAAGTTACTTAGCAAAAGACGTTCTATGATATGGAGCTCTCATCCCCTTTTGGTTTGCCATTTAAATAGTTTTGGTTTCTTGGTGAAAATATTTTGATTGTGCGCTTTCTAATTCCACTACTGATGTTAATATATAATTTCACAGTTTTGTTTATTGATTGTGCAAGAGATAGGGTATGCAATCAGCATTGCATCATGTTTTGAACATTTAATATTCTTTCCCTAGTGAAACACCTAGTGTTAAGGCCTTGTTGGGATGACCCTGGATCAGAAGAGGCTCCTGTTCATAAGAATAATGCAATCTCTATAGAGCATGTCAGAAAATATAAGGGTGGGTTAAAGTAAATTGTATCCTTCTAAGTGTGGTGCTATGAAAGAGAACAAATCATTGGGGCTGTGACATTTACTAAGGATCTAGTTGTTTTATATCTAAAGTAGCAATGAACGTAGCAAAAATGATTCATGTGTCGAGAATAAACTCAGCTCTTGTTTGACAACCATTATTGGGGGAAAATAGAGTTTGAATTGTCATTTTTAGGAGAATGTGCTGTTAAAAAGTAATGAAAAGCTTTGGGTTTATATGCAGAATATTTTATTGTATGAATGTGTGGTCGAAAATGAGTATATAGAAAAAAGATTTTAAAAATAATGGTTGTCAAATGTCAAATAGGGGCTTAGTTTGTAGATGGTTATTTATTTTTATTTTTTTTTACCCTCTATCTCTTGAAAAACTTGCAAATAATTCGGAATTTAGTGCATTAAGTGGGAAAGGCTACTTCTTCACCATTCTACAATTTATCATGTAGGCTCATAGCTTCAGATGCTTCACTAATCTTTATCGTATCAAATTAATGTGATGATGATTCCCTTCCATGCAGGAATATCTTCAAGGCAATCCCCTCTGGCTGCAGTATGTTAAGACTCCATTGACGACTTTAGGCTACGAGAGTAGCTATGATGTTTTTGTCAAGGCACAAGGTGGAGGACTTTCTGGGCAGGCTCAAGCAATTTCCCTTGGAATTGCTCGAGCTTTGCTAAAGGTGAGTGAGAGCCATAGATCACCACTAAGGGAGGAAGGTCTCCTGACCAGGGACTCGAGAGTAGTCGAGAGGAAGAAGGTTGGGCTTAAGAAAGCTAGAAAGCGCCCTCAATTCTCAAAACGTTGAGGTTAGAATTTTAATTGGATCTGCCATTACATTTATTCTCGTCATCTTAAGAATTTTATATCATGTTTCCGCTAAGAATAAAGCCATGTGTACATAATTCTTTACACAATCATTTACACCCCCCTCACATGGAGGGGGGTTCACACATAATAAAATAATCGTGGGCTCCCCTCCATGTGAGGGAATGTAAAGGATTGTGTAATGCATGAGGTGTACATGTAGCATCACCCTTCCGCTAATTAAGTAAATATATTGAGGTTAGAGTTTTGATTGGAGATGCCATCAAATTTTTTCTTGCTGGTTTATCAATTTTTAGCCATAAGGTGGATGTTAACAAAGGGAAATATTCCTTTTTGATTTCCTTTATCAGCTATGCAATGCCAAATCATCATCAGAATTGTTACAGATGTTCCTATGGTGTAGAATTGGTGAAGTCATAATCGAGCAAGTCCATTTCTCCAAAATTTCATGTATGATTTGCTCAAAATTGAGTATTGCTCAATATTTCTTTGTCTTATCATTGTATGAACCTGAGGACAGTCAAATTCAAATTTTACTGAGGCACTTGACCTATTTTTCTAATCTCTCTAACCAAGTCTAATGTATAATTTCTCTTTTCATCTACTGTCATTTTTGGGTTGAAGTGATTATAATGCATGTGTATATTGCAGCGATCAAATGCTTTAATATCACAGCTTAAACAGTTGCAAATTTACTTGTTTTCCTTCTTGCATGTCACATCCTTTCCTCCACTTTTTCCGGGTACTACTCAGGAGCTCTCACTGGTTTGCTGCAGTGGGACTATGGGGAAATGGAGTTCAATTTTATGAAGCTAAATTTTATTTTTACGGGTAGGCATGTTTTCACGAGGTTCATTTGATCATTCAACAGATATTTGAATGTTTTCTGTATTTTGAAGAGTGATTGTGTAACTTTAGTTGGGTACGAACTTGTCGATGAAGATTGAGGATCAACTTGCTTTCAAGCAATAAGTTGAGGACCTACAGTGCAATTCTCCCATAATAATTTACATATTAAAAGAATAAACTGTTCTCTTTTTCAAACAAATTGATAAATTAAATCAACAGTTAAATGTAAGTATGTTATGTAATTATATTAATAAGATAGTGATCGATTGGACTTTGAGTGTTTTAAATAATTTATAAACATATATTAGTTTACATAATGACTTAAAACCATTTATTATACATTGAACATTTTGTAAAACCATTCAATTTTATTTATAACATTTTTTAGAAAATAAAAAAAAAACTTATTATCTAACAATACAAATTATTTTTAAAATATGTCATCAAATACGTATTTTGACTGCTTTCTAAATCACTATATAGTAACCTTTCAACTATGGCTTTGCATGCGGCGCCAAAAATAAAAAATTGGGGGACGAGTATGACGTAAAGTGATATGATTTAATTATTCAAATTAATTATGATACTAACTATTTGATTCTTGCAATCTTTGTCCTTGTTTGACGATTATTATTTGAATTTTTTTTTTCTATATACTTATTTTTAACTACACATTCACACAATAAAATATTTTGTACGTAAATTTAAATTTTATTTCCTACTTTCAACCACACATTCTCCTAAAAATCACTATTTAAAATATTATTTTTCCATAATATTGACCATCAAATAAGGACTTGTTATTTTTTGGAACTTGTAAAATTGCTATTTGTTGGGTCGAGTGATTGGGTTAAGATTAATACATTGTAATAAAATAACAAATTCAATTTCAGAGTCGGGTAAAACATCCCATTTCAAGAACCAAGAACTTTTCGAAACTCGATACGTTTTGAGTTGTGGTTCTTAATTTTTTTTCCTTTCTGGAATTGGATTGGGACATCCGATCAATTTGATTTCGGTTCAACTCCAGTTAAAATGTTCATCTCTAATTTTGTATTTTATAAATTTTTAATATTTTATTTAATTGTAGATATTTTATTAAATTTCAATAATTTATTCACTCGTGATTGTCAAATAATAAGATAGGCTGTTATGATACTTCATTGCATCATAATTTTCTTTCAAATTATTTGACACTATTTCTGTTCAAAAGTAACTATTTTATTGAACATAAAATTTGTGCATGTCAACGTACGCCAACGATACTTGAGTAAAGCTTGAGTTAGAATATTGCCCTTTCAAAATAAATTAGGGCACTATTCACAATATCCCTATTATAGAGAATTTATTTCAAAAGATCATGCTGGAAAACAAAATAAAAGTGTCCAACTTAGGTTGAATAATCATATAGTTGATATTGTCCTCTTTCATGTAGATTAATCTACTTAAAATTTCGAGATATAGTCAATAATTAATTCTAATCAATTGAAAATACAATTTTTCGACCATACATTTCACAACTTTAATCAAAATATACTAATAGTCCGATTTTAATATACATCAAACAAGGGCATAATATTCGTTCTTATTTGGTTTAGATAATTTTGATAAAAGTTGATAAAATGTGTGGTTGAAAAATTATGAATCATATAAAATGTATAGTTAAAATTATTTGTTTATCATTTTAGCGGCTGTTTTTTCTTTTTTTTCTTTTTTCCCTCGTAAAAAATACATATATAATTATCATACTTTCGGGATACTCTTTCAAAAATCATGTAATCGTAATTTGTAACCTCTGATAAAATTTTGTGATCTATATTTAATCAAATATGCCATGATCGTAGTAAACATGCAATTTATGGTCACAATAAAATAATAATCACAAATCACACAACGTCACAGTCACAAATGCACAATTTGTTGATCTCAACGTTATATTTTAATCACAAATCATACATTTTACTATGTCACAAATTACCCAATTAAACACTCCTCACCTCATCCCACTCCCCACAGGGTGGGATTGGATGGTGTGAGGTGGGGTGGGGTGGACTGTTGAGGGTAGTCGGGTAGTTAATTTTCGGTGATAGTGGAGAAAATTGATGGTGACAACTAGTTGAATCTGTGGTGTAAATAGAGAGAGAATCATAGATTTTTTGAACGTACGGTGAATGTATAGGTGGGGAAGGGTAGGGTGTGGTTAACCTGATTTTTGAAAGGAAAATCTTTGCACCTAATTATTGGAATGAGCAAAATTAAAAAATAAATATGGGTGTAATTTTCTTTTTTTTTTTCTCGATTTTATTTTGGCACTGTTATTCCCTCTTGTGAGCCCTCAAGTAGAGGGAAATGAATGGATGATGAAAGTAGCAACGAAGAAATGATCCCATGTAATAAAATGAAATTGGATACTTTTTCCATATAGAAAGATTTTGATACCGAAAAATTCACAAGTAGGTATTTTACAAAATTGTTGTTTGAAAGATTCTCAATAATATTCGACCTTGTTGGAGTCCAACTCCGACCTCGATTTAATATAATATCTTCAAAGCACCAAGCCCACTCGCTAAAGTTTAGATTGGACCCCTAAGTTGAGTTTGGTCTAATGACCGCCATAATTCCAGAAAACATAATAATTGCAGATTCTCTGCTATGCTGAAAAGCCACCCATCTTACCAATCAACGAGGGATATCTGGCAAAAAAATGATGTCGCACCTCCCCTTTTCACCAATCAACTGCAAATGCTCTTTACTCGATGTCGGCCCATCATTCTCTTACAATGCAATAGGGCCAACATCATGATGACTTGATGGTAGCCGACCTTAATAGTCATTCAGAAACAAGATCACTAAGCTCAACACTATAGATGATGTGATTGACAAGACTTAAGTCAGCCAATGGGGAGCTTATTCTTCCTATAAATAAAGCAAATTGTCCCTTCCAAAGGTAGAGCTTGGCCTGCCTCATGATTTTAATACAATATGCTCTTATTTTCTACCAATCCCTTTGTAAAACAATTATGTGCTTAGCTTTCAAGGAAATTATCAATAGATACTCCTTTTTTCTCTTAAAGTTGGCCAAGAATTTCGATTACAATTTTTTACATCAACAATTTGGCACTAGAAAGAGGGCCTCTTGTATAAGCGGCCCTCATTTTTCCGTAAAAACCCACACTAAAGCAACCTACAACAATATATCATCATGAACCACAGTTCGAATTCCAGGAATCAATCTCACACTAATCTTAAATGAAATCAATGTCTCACCAGACTTTCTGAGGGGACTAGGTCAAAACGAGTTCGGTAATCCTCAATTGGTTGCAAGGGAAAAATCATCCAAAAGCAGAACAAAGAGGTCAAAAGTCCTCTCCTACTAACAGAGTCATTCATCAGAAAGGCGAGAAGTGTGTTTGACAGATTAGGCTTTCAGTTATTCACTAACACCCCAAGGTAAATCACCAAGCTCAACCCAAAATGCCCTTCAAAATAGGTAGAACCAGAAATGAACACCTTGAAAAAGCGTATTGTAGATTTAGAAGCTAAAAATAAGGAAATTGTTGAGGAATGTTTTACTAAACACCACTTCCCATTAAAAAAAAAAAAAATTTCGCTGAACCCTTATCTGAAAAATTGAAGATGCTACAGCACAGCGGGTACGAAGGAGAAGGATATTCCCTTAGTCATCTAGACAAATATACTTCATGGATGAAGCTGCAGGGAACAATCGATGCCATCACGTGTCGAGCTTTTCCATTAATATTGGGAGACAAAGCTCAAAGGTGATTCAGGAAGCTATACCAAAGGTCTATAAAAAACTGGACCGACCTCACTACAACGTTCCTAGCTCAGTTTATGGTCTCCAAGGCTAGAACAACAACCAAAGAACGCTTGGCGAGCATCACGCAAGGGAAAAGCGAGTCACTTAAAAGTTACCTCAACAGATTCAACAAGCAATCCAAAGAGGTGGATAAAATCTCTAGTGATATGGCCTTCGTGGAGTCTTTTTTGGGTTGAGGCCTAGAACGAAGTTCTGGTAGTCCGTGCATGAATACGGACCTAGAACGTAACATGAATTCCTTAACCGAGTTGAGAAGCATATAAGTGTAGAAAAGGCAACCTCAATTCAGGAAG